TTGGAAACAAATGCTCTGAACTACTTAGAGACATTTGGCAGCTTTCCAAACATTACCACCATTTAATGAAAGGAGACTGGCAATCAATGAATGGCATGTGTCCATCTTTTCATTTAAAAAATAGTTTGAAATTCTGAAAGAAGCTAGTAAAACAGCATATTTTGTGTGTGTGTGTGTGTGTGTGTGTGTGTGTGAGATACAAATAATATTATGCACACAGACATGCACACACACTTATATATACTATTTATTTTATATATATAATAGGATAGAATATACTAATAAATATACTAATAGATATACTGATTCAGTGCTTTAGAATATACTAATAGATACTAATAGATATACTGATTCAGTGCTTTAGTTTTTCAAGAACCAAAATATAAAAAATAGGATTAACATTAGTAGCATGCTTGTTGGCTTCAGGGTTGCTGTCAGTTGGAAGTCAGTGCCAAGTTTCTGATATCTGCCAAGTTTCTAATGTCACTGTCCATTCTGCAGTTTTTAACTTAAAGTATATGTCACAGCCACAAACTGCAGGACTGAACTTGTATGCATAGAAAATGCAAATTTCTTAAACCTTCAACCACCAATCTAGCCAGTATTGCTTCTAGTTGTTTGCCCTTTTCAAAGAGTTTTGTCAACACCATTCATTACAACATATAAGTAGAAATAAGTGGCATACACATGTTGGATACTATCATTATCAGAACAGCAACAATAGCATGAAATTCAATAATTCAACATACAAGCCTGACAAGTAGGATAAAGAGAGTAGCTGATTCAAGTCTGATCCAAACTGCAGTGATATTAATGGGTATTTTTTTCACTGACTTTAGCAAGCCTTTGGTAGGGCTCAAAAAGTTGAGACTTTCACTGAACCAAGCATGTGGAACCTTCTATTTAAGCCAAAACATCAAATCAATGGTACAGTTTCACTTACTGAATGGTTTTGCTATCAACAGAAATCCTATTTCGTTTAAAAAAAGTAGTCTAATAATGCTGTTTGATTATATTCAGGAGGCTGGACCACACCAGCAGCTGATCTTCCTTTGGATATTCCTTCAGATACAGCTGAGACATGGTTGTTGGAAGTTTATTGGTCAGTCTCAGAAAAACATCTTAAATCAGATGCATTATCAGAACAACAGTATAAAGATAGCAAGTGGACACAGAGAGCTTTTGAAACGGGAAAGCCAAAACCAAAACTTACACTTATTATCAACTTAGAACAGGGTTGGAAAAATTCACTTATTGCTTTCCTCATTCTCAATACAAAGCTTTCCCAGAGGAATGAATGCCATTACATTCTTCAGAACCCATTTTTATGGTGGTACAAAATGAAAAGAAAAAGCCTAAATTTGTGGCCTCAACAAAAGGCAGCATCAATTTGTGCTGCTCTTTTAAAGTGGATGTCTGCTTGTTTTAAGGCAGAGAATGCAGGCAGCCTATAGCTGCCCATGCTCTTCAGCTACCTGGGACAGGTCTTTCCAGGGTTTTAGGGGTGCATGTGCAGGGAATTCCCCTACAGGGAAATTCAACAGGCACACAGGATTGGGCCCCTAAAACCTTGGGGGTGCCTACCTGGATTTCCCAATTTTCTGAGCTGCACCTCAATTTTGACTCAGGGTGGGCTTCTGCAAACAGGGGAATCCCAGCTTTCTCCACTTGCAGAGGCACACCCAGCGATTTGCAAACCTGGGCAGGTCCTCCTAGGACTTCTGGGCATCAAATAGATTTTGCATCCCAACAAGCAGAGAAACCTGGGATTCCTCCATTTGCAGAGGCATCCCTTAAGTCTTGTCCTGCAAGATCAGGCCCCCGCCACCCTCAGAAGTGGCAGAAACCTGACCTTGCAGGACAACCGGCAGCATCTGTTTTGCACAATGAAGCAGGGTGTGTTCTAGCACAGCTGCATTTTCAATGCCTGTTTATAGCAGTGGTCTCCAACCTTTTTAAGTAGGAGATCACCTTTGGCATTTAAAAGCAACCCAAGATGTACCATGGGCTGCCACCCCCCTTGCTTGCCACCCCACCCCCACCCAGCAGGTAAGTCTGTGCTGTGGGAGAGCAGATCAAAGCAGAGGGAGAAAAAATTATTTGTGTGTGCGCCTCCCCAGCAGGTAAGTCCCATCCGACTGGGGCCCCACTTAACTTGCCCTCACTCTGGCCTCTACGGCACTGTCAGGGGCCTCGATCTAGCCCCTGACCCTTACCTCCCCCACAGACTGACTTGCTGGGCTGGGGCACACGCGTGCATGCACGCAGGCACTCAGCTCCCTACCTCAGCCTTGGATCGACTCCGAGAGGCTCTGAGATCTACCACAAGATGCTCCAAGATCTATTGGTGGATCGAGATCCACTGCTTGGTGACCACTGGTTTACAGCAGTGCAGACACAGATTCTCATTAACAGTAAATCATATTATCAGACTGGAATGTAAAAATCAGGATAGAATGTTTTAGTAAGGTTTCTGAAGAGATGCTTTCAGGAAATATATAATGATAAGGTATTATTCTACAAGTCAAGCTGATAGTTACTGCAGGACAATCTGCACTGAGATTCCTACGAAGTCTAAGTTACGCATGTTGGATACACTCTTTTTCCTGGATTTGTTTAAAGACCTTGTTAAAAACACAAACACAAATCCCATTTCATTTAGTTCATTTCCACAGTACTATTATCACTGGTAAGCATTGTGTTGTGGGTCTTGACCCTCCTTAAATTTATTCTTGAGATGGAGAAAACTTAGGTAAAGCCTGCTGATCTGCAAATTCAAAGTACCGTATTTACCCAAATCCAAGACATCTCTGAACTCTAATAATGAGATTCTATATGCGGAAAATTATAAATTTGTTATACTGTCCCATGTCTAGATTTAAATTATTGGAGGGCCATTATTAAATTGCCACCTGACTGCTGTGAGGCAGAAAGAAGTAAGAGGGGTGGAGAGGGAGGAAAAGGAGGCCACCAACCTAACACCTGCACCTGGCTCCCCTACTACTTACTTACCTGTGCCTGGCCCCCCTCTCCCCTGCCTCTTGCCCCTCCTACCTGCTCCCTGGACCAGTGCTGCTGCTGCTGGCTCCCCGACCTGATTCACGGCTACTATCAACTCCATGGCTCCTGACTCTAGGCAGCAGCAGGGGTTACAGCTCCTGCCCTAGCCCATGGCTCCAGTTCCACAGCTGCAAAAGCTGCTGTCTTAGGCCTGTATTCAAATCAAACAGAAGGCTTCTTTTTTCCCCTTGTTGAATAAAGGGTGAGGGGGGCGGACCTCCTCTTGCACTTCAGCAAATATGGTATTTGGAAATCAGGGGAACCAAATGCTAACACTCCAAAGTAAGGGAAGTCCAGGAGGTGACTGAACATAATGGAAGCAGTATGTATTTTTGCCAGGGTAGAGTTTGACCCAATGACTTCAGAAAACATTCTAATTTTTAGCTAATAGGATATTTTACATTATCCCTTGGCTCAAGAATAAATACCAAATGGTCAAAATTCCTTGAGCAAATATTTGTCACCAAGAGCAGAGTGCCAGGGAAAATAAGAAATCAAAGTTTTTTTGAGGTCTTTAAAAATATAAAAAATTTTGAACAAGCTTACAGGATGACTGACTGCCTATTAGGATCCTTGATGCATATCACTCTGTATAACTATAAATACCAAATCTATTTCAAGGTTTACCACCAACAGAGAGTCCATTCTTAATGGGGCCAACTTCCCTCAACTCCCATTGGCACATGAACAGCCTACTAAAACAGTATGTTAAAGAACTATGTTCATTATAGCTGTATTTAAAGAACAAAACAAAAAGGCCAGCCTCTCCGTATCAGTAAAACTTGAGGCTCCCATATCACCGAGCAATAGTTAAATTGAAACTCAGCATTAAGCAGTCATTATCTGGTGTCTTCCATACACTTTAATTCAGTAGTCTCCTCCAGTTCAAAGTGCATAAGCGGTCATCAGGACCCATGAAAAGTCTGTAATAATATCAGTATGGTTGTTCTATTTTTAATTATGTGGTTTCTCTAAGATGTTCCATTACTCTTTCAAGTGACACAAAAGCTAAAGAAAAACCTCAATGTCTTTTTTTTCTATGACTAAAAATTATGTGGTGCACAGGACTTCATGGAGTTAGGTTAAATGAGTACATTTTCCAATTATCGTAAATCAGACATTTGTGAAATAAGCTAAACTCTTCATTTATCCCCACAGAAGCCATTGTTTAAAGTCACCCTCAAATAATTTTATTTTGTAAAATCACATTTCCAAAAGATATTTTGATAGTTTTACAAATGTTATTTTGAAAATGTAAACACAACGTGTAAGCTATTACAAACACCATATGCTCTGGAGACAGCTTCTTGAACCATAAATGCAACACACAATTTATTCCAACATTAATGCAAACCAGCACATTGGTAGTACAGGACTTAACCCAAATAGCGTAGAAGTCATTCAGAATCTTTCATCTGACAAATCAATTGGCTTTGGGTCTGGCCCACACTTCAGCAAGCTACTCTGGTTAAGAAATAACAGGTACTACAGAACAGTGCTGCAACAGACAGAGGAACAGCCAAAGGCAGAAGAAAAATATTAAACCTGTAAAATAAAAGCCTTTATTACTAACTAAAATATTTAGTTTTCACTCATCCAATGGAAAAATAGTAGCTCAGCAATAAGTGTAAAACATACCTTTAGGTGACAATGAGGTTTTAGATACATTTAAATGTTTCAGTCCCTTTGGAAGTTTGGCAAATTGAACACTTAGAGAGGATATACCTGTGTGGGGGTAAAAAAAGAAAGTAGAATTCGTATGTTTTCAAAGTGACAGGAATTAGAGACCACACATCCAACCCCACTAAAGCCAGAGAGACCGCAGGGGTGCTTCAGCACTTCACAAGCAGAACTGCACTCTTATTAGGGCCAGGCTAAAAATAAGAGTTTTATTACTGTAGCCCCTTGAAACACTAATAATGAGCCAGGATTCCATTGTACAAACACAGAACAAAAAGGCAATTAAAAACTACCCAGGGCTGATTTACTCTGAAATACTTTAAAAGCGATGTGAGCATGCTTAAGTTTTGGCAGACCAAACAGGAGGTACCATAGGTGCCATGGTGTCAGCACCTGGAACGTTTGAAAGGTTTAAACCTTGCTGCTTCTACCAAAGATTTTTCAATAAAAAACTAATTCAATACTAAAATTCACATCAGAGGACAAGAAATACTGTACTGGCATTAGGGCTGTATTTGGTCACTGATTCTATTTGGTGGAGATACAGCCCTATTCAGTGGTCAAATCTCCGAAACCAAACTGAATCAGGAGACCTATCTCTGAATCAAATTGGAACCCTTCAAATTGATTTGGAGAGATTCACGTTTTGGACACAGACACAGCTTTAAGTGTTTTTTCTATACATACCTCAAGGTACCAGGCAGCTCGTGAACACTGAGATGCTGGGGCGGATGGAAAGTCCCACAGGAGCACGGAGGGGTGAGGGTGTCTCCAGCATGCTCGGCAGCAGACCTGGAAGTAGACCAGAAGCACTTCCAGTCCACTTCCGGGTCCACTGGGAAGTGGGCGGGGGACCCCTCTCCCTGCCCCCTGGCTTGGCGACTGGTGCCTCCTGGGTCTGGGAGGGGCACCTGGGGTCCCCCATGGCCCAAGGCCAAGCCAGGAAGGCAGGGGAGGGGTCCCCCATGCGCTTGGCGGTGGACCTGGAAGTGGGTTGGAAGTACTTCCAGTCCACTTCTGGATTTGCCATCGAGCATGCAGGGGGGCACCCTGTACTCCTGTAGGATACTCCATGCACCCCACCATTGCAGCATTCACAACCCGCGCCTGGTACCTCGAGGTATGTAGAAAAAATATTTAAAGCTGTGTCTATGGCCGAATCAGCATCGAATCTTCAGATTCAGGTTTGGCCAAATCAAATCGGAACAGTGATCCAAATCAACGGCTCAAATCACTGTCCCTGATTCAGGCCAAATCCAAATTGAATACGGCCCATTTCGCACACCCCTAATTAGCATATCATGTGCAAACAGTTTATTTTGCATTTGTCACATGGTTTTATCTTACACATAGGAAAAGTTGTATTTCAGATGTGCATGGATTTTTTGTTGCAGGGATAGTTTTTGTTGTTGCTCATACAACCATATGTTTAGTATGTACACTGATTATATGTGTAGTTTTCCCAGACAGTTGAAAATTACCTGCCATATTGTATTAATATAGTCAAGCTGTTGACATGAAGATCTATTTCTATTATTTACTGTAAAAAGTCATGGTAGCTGGAAATATAGTCATGATGGCTGGAAGTATTTACTACCCTTACTGAATTTGTTTTGAGGAACAAATTCAGGATATAAGAATATTCAAGTTACTGTTCTTCACCTTTGTAGCAATTTGTTGTTAGCTTGATGTGAAAAACATTTGAGAATTTTTTTTTTTTTAATAAATAAGCTTTTTCTGGAGAAATTTTAAAGAAGTATTCACTGACAATGTTTTAAACATTAACTACTTAAAACGTTTTGTATTGTGTGTTTACAAATATACATGTATTTTCCTTAGTTTGCTTGAAAAAGGGAATTCCAAGAAACACAGTATAATAGATTCCATAAAAACACTAACCTTATTAATAAAAATTAGCCACAACCAAAGACAGAAAGTATTCAACTTGACATAAAAGTTTTTGTGAATTGTTGTACGCATTTGCAGAAATTGCAGTACCAGTAGGACTGGACCTTTAGACAGAGTTACTTTAAAAGCAACACTGGCGGGACTTTCTATCCTAAGTACAGTTTTAAACTCTATGCATCTTCAATGAAGAAAGAGACTCAAAATATTACAATCTTTTGATAATTCCCCCCAGGATTTTCAGTTCCCAGGTAGGTCCTCTGCACTCTTTGGTTGCAGCTGATTCTCTCACTATGCATATATCTTTAAAAGCCAAATGTGATGTTATTTTGTGATGGCAAAAGGGGGAAGGCAGCAAAAGCAATATGAATAAATACTGCAGTGATGCACTTCAATTAAGAAGACTAGTAAATCCTTCAACTCTTCCCTCCTCCACAATTTAACTAGCAGATTTCAGGTACACCCAGCATCACCCACACAGACTGCAAGAATTTTACAGCCTCATCAACATGAGGCCATTTACCATGAGACCTTGATGAGAAGATGAGAGAGAGAGACAAGTAATTTTTCAACATGATGTTTCTTAAAAGAAACAAAGGGTGACACTTTGGATCTATTAAAGTCAATGGCAAATCTCCCATCAATCTCCCATCATTTCAGCAAGGCCAGGACTTAACACCTTGAGTGCCATAAGACTCAAAAGGTGGCTCAGATTTTGACAGTATGGTTAAGGGAAGCCAAGAACAATTTAAGACACTGTTCAAAATAAAATTACTCTCACCTATATGCTTTTTAAATCTCAGGTGAACAAAATACTCTTCTGGCACTTTCCATACCATTCAAGCAAATCTATACTAATACTCACAACTGCATAATTATCTGGGAGGTGAAAGAAAAAAACACCAATACATTGTTTTTTTAAAAATGTGTTTCAACCCAAATATGTTCCAAGTAAAATGAACATTTTTCCATTTTAAATTGCTGTTGGAGGAGGGGAGGGAAGGGAAGTTTTGCAAAACACTCAAATGAAACAAAAAGTTTTACAAAATAAAATCCTGGTTTTTCAACCTCTTGAAAAACAAACTCATGATGGGTGTCATCCTGAAAGCATGGTGTACATGGAATATGAATTCCATGTATGCAATGCTCACAGAGCTGAGTCCAGACTGAAGGAAATTAATCTTAGTTTAAAAATAATCTTGTTTGGGGGATAACGGAAAGGAATGACTTATGTCCATAAACTGCAATTACTAAAAATGTATGTTTAGTCATAGAAAGTAGCAAGTGCTCAAGTCTCACTGAAGTCAAGAGGACTGCTTTGCTGAATTGGGATGGATGTATGCAGGTGCGTAATGCACACACTGTAATGATTATAGCTATACATTTACAAAAACAATGACCATAAATACGTAAATAAAATGCATCTGAATCAAAAAAACACTTTGGTTTGAAAACATCTGAAACAGCAAGCAGTGATGTTACTTCTTATGTTCAGACACATCCACAAATTCTTTTCTATATACTTTTTAAAAAATGTAGTATTTAAAACTATTTTTCTGCCTCCAACACAAAGCATTCACTGGGTTTCATCCATTGTTTAGGTCAAAAGTAACTCCTCTGAAATTAAACTAGCCCAAAATTAATGAAATTCTTAGTTACATTAGGATCATTAAACACCTCTAGGCTAATAGACATGTGCAAACTAAGAAAAAAAAAGCAATTCTCAGTCATCTGTGAACAACAGATATTTACTATGACATTACACCAAGAACAATACTCTCTTATTCAGGCAAAGCTGAATGAAGTAGCACTAATCCTCTTATTACATTTGTATAAAAGGAAAAGTTTAAATGGTACAGTACCTCTGTCCTCAAGTGGGTTATTAGCAAGGTTAATGGTATGAAGTCCTGAGTTAGGATTATGGGCTAGGGCATTGGCTAGTTTCTGTGCAAAATCGCTGCAAAGAAAGCATAATAAAAGAGGATTATATCTACTGCATCAATCAACACCACATTCAGAGGCTTAAAATATGTTCACTAGAAAGAATGGAAATGACTAATGCTATCAACCACAAAGCTACAAAGTATTTCCATTAGTTGTTAGGTCACACACCTCAGTATAACGTCCTTCTTTCAATCCAGCAATATTCTCATTTCTTATTTATATTAGATTCAAGAGACCTTTACATCACAGGGAACTCACCCAATGCTCTGAGCACCTTTGATATATATTTATGAATGCTGGAAAACAGGAGTTACAAAATGAAGAGTCCAAACCAAGAGCATTTCTCTTTCTCGTTGTACCATATACCATCTGACTGCTGATCACTTAATCAATACCATAACCACCACTTCATTTTTCCACCAAGCACCAGAGGAGCAGGCAGCAACATTTTCCACTGGTGGGCCAGAATAACTACAGGACAGGAAAGCTCTTAGCCACCCAGCTGCCCGGCTGCAGCATGGGCAAAGTCCCCACCATTGAATGCTGCCAAAGCCCCAGCTCTGCAGGTTGGATCCTGCACCTGGGCTGTAGCTTTCCACATCCTGCTCAAGTGCATCAGCTTTCCATCAGTAACTGCTTAAAATGAGCTTTGCAGAATAACCAGAAGATCTACAAAAGGGTGGTGGGGGGGAATATTTCTGACCTAGTAGAGTAAGGAGAATGAGATAGCACTCCAAAGATAAGGGGCCCTTACACAAAAGCCCTTGTCCAACTTTTAGTTATTTATTTACTTATTTAAGCAAGGAGCATAAGGCTCAGATGCTCTGAGTGGGTCAGTATTGAGAAACTAAGCTAGCTCTAAACTAGCTAGCTTGTATAGTAGGGCTGTGTGAAATTTTGCCGAGTGTTTCATTTTGAAGCTGTGTTTTGAGCTCGAAACAGCGAAATCAAAGTGAAACAAAAGCCTTCGAAACAGCTCCAAAATGAAACAAGGGCACTCGAAACATTTCCAGTTTCGAAGCCGGGCTTACTTGGCTTCAGCACCAGTCCCAGCCAGCGGCAGCAGCCTCCTGTCATTCGGCACACAAATCTGGGGGCCTGCACCCCCCGGGAGGAGTCTAGCACAGCCCTCCCAGGGGTGCGAGCCCCCGGATTTGTGCACTGGATGACAGCTTGCTGTCACTGCTGGCTGGGGCCAGCAGCAGCACCAATCTTCCTGCTGCTCGGCATGGGCTGCACCCAGCGCCAGTCCCAGCTGGCAGCAGCAGCCTCCTATCATCTGGCACGCAGATCGAGGCCCGCCTGCACTCCTGGGAGGGCTGTGGGGCTGTGCTGGACTCCTCCCAGGGGTGCAGGCCCATGATTTGGGTGCCAGATGTCAGGAGGCTGCTGCTGCCACCTAGGACCGGCACCGGGCACAGCCCATTCCCAGCACCGGGAAGACTGGTGTTGCCGCTAGCCAGAGGCAGCAGCAGCAGCCTCCTGTCATCTGGTGTGCAGATACGGGGGCCCAGCCCTCCTGGGGGTGTGGACCCCTGGAACTGCGCACAGCATGACAGCATGTTGTTGCTGCCGGCTGGGGCCAGTGGCAG